TCCCTCCTAGGAACTAATCAGCCTTAAGATGGATGGGGTTTTCCCACAGCTCTCAGGAAACTCTGCCTATAATTGGTTTCCTCTGTGCTATGAGAAATCCCACCCAATGGCATAGGCTGACGGGCACGTTTTTTTTCTAAAATGTTTCAATCCTGCCTTTAGTTCTCCTCCTCGTTAATCGGGGAGGGGGACTTACTTGGCCTTGGTGTAGGCTTCTCATGCTCTCTGCCCTCTCTTGCAGCTCCCAGCACTGGGGTCTTCTACCTTCTGCTGCCTGTGGGCTGCGCTTTCCCTAACCCTCCCCACCAACCTTCCCTGACTTCAGGACCCTATGAAAGACAGCTGGAAAATGGCTGCCTGCACCCATCTTTGCCTTGGAATTCTCCTCTCGCAGCCGGGGAAAAGGGACATGGAGGGGGAAGACAGAAGCACATAAAAGAGGAGCCTGTGGAGTGACCCCTTCCAGTGGGGTTTCTGGGCTATGTGATTTGATTTGCTGGCTGGATCTGGTTTAGTTGGAACCTTCTTCCCTTCCTCTGTGAGGTGCTGCCCCTCCCCAGGATGCAGCTACCATTTCAGAGGCTGACTGACCTGACTGTGCAACCTGTAGGCCTTTTTAGCCCTCTATGTTTGTTGCGGCTGCTCCCCCTCCCCACCCCATCCCCAAGGCTGTGACATAGACCATAATAATCTAGGAGGAAACATGTCCTGACATGCCTGCTGTGTTTAAAACAGTCTTAAGCCATCCCTGGGGGACAGCAGAGCCACCTACCCTTGACTGTCACAGAGGTGTTTATCCTACCCCTCAGTAGGGATTAGATCCCTTCTGCCCCCCTCTCTGGCTGGAGCTGCCATTTCACCTGGTCGGTGACATGACCCCCAACCTTGTGCACCTCTCAGATCCCTCCTCTTGGATTCCTTTTGTGAGGCAGCTCACTTTTCTGTAAGTCTTGTGCTGATGGCATTGCAGCAGCCATTCAACATTCACACAGATAATATTCTTCTCTCTTTTATTATCGCTCCTAAATTTGCAGCCCTGAATTTGACACGAGGGCTCACGGTTGCAGGCCAGTCTTTCTCCCTCCCACCAGAAGCTGCTGACATCTAAACTGGATAGGCAATGTGCTCAGAGCCAGTTGTCAGTAGCTGGGAAAGATGACACTGTATCTGGCTGGAACAAGACAAGCGGAGCCTTCCCACGCCTTGTCGGTCCATTGAAAGTTGGAATTGGCAGAAAAGACATCAAAGCAGGTGTGAGAATGCCACGGCAGGATTTGCCAAGGACTCCTCTGTTCATGTCTGCGATGCCAGGAGCCAGGGCAGGGGAGAGATGAAAAGGGCAGGCTATTTAATATTCCCTCCCCTCATGAAAGCAACACATCCCCTGTTTCTGAAGAGCTTATTCTGTGCCATCGCGGCAGCTGTTAGAGGTTGTGGTGGCATTAGCCTCTTTGCGCTGCGAGTTAGCAGCCCTTGGCAGGGTGACAGTTGCACTGTATCTTACGTAAATGTGTACCTTGTACTGATCTGCCCACGCCTACCCTGCTAAGGTGTGTGGCCTGATTATTTACCCCCCAACCCCTTCCTGCCTCCAGAGGATCTCCTTTCTGGGAATTCCCTCCTGAACCCCTTCTCCTGGCAGTTCAAACACTCTTCCAGGCACCCCTGCAGCTCCCCTTCTCCCAGTATCACTTCTCCCATGTCTCCCCTTTGGCTCCCCCAAACACCGCCTGCCCTGTATTGCTCACACACTGTGGCAGGGAAGAGCTTGTGCTAAACAGGTTCCTTACGTCTGCCGATGGGCACCCAAACTAAAGCTATAGCTGGCAGGAGAGCCCTGCATTAGGGGTGACCTTTTGAACTTTCCAGCTACACCCAGCACCCTTAAATAACAACAGCAGCTGCTCCACACAGTCCCGCAGAGGACTTTAACCCCCCCACGCTCTCTAAACACCTCCTTCCCCACCAGCTTTCCCCAGAGACGCTCCACCCTTCCTGACCTCCCCATGCCCCTGTCTTCTTGTAGCTCCCACATACCTCCCTCTTTTCCACTGCATGCAATGTCTTCATGCACATGCTCCTGGGTCCCCAAACCCCGCCCAGGAGCTGAGTAAATGGGTGAGGACAGTTATAGGAGTGAGAGACCCCTGTCACTGAGCCACTGCCAGCTTTATTAAAACCCTAAGGAAAGTCCTGGGAAATAACATCGTTAAACTGGAAATCAGGATGAACAGCTGCACAGTATTACATACCTTTACTGAAAACCTCTAAAAGACACCACAGACCTTTAAAAGCGTGAATATTCAGAGTTAGCTTCTCACTGAAAAACAAACAAACGTAATGGTTCTGTGTCCGTTGCAGTGAATATTGCCACTATATTGCCAAACAAGAGGACTCCTATTTATTTTTTAAAAAAAGTTTGTCTAAAAATAATAAATGAGTCCTTGGGAAAATTCAGGGCCAAATTTAGTGGGAGTGTAAATGACGGGCTCAGGTGTACCATGGATGTAAGTGGTAAAACTCGTGAAACTTGCACTGACCCAGCATTCTGTAGGTGAACCATGTAGCTTAATTTTTAAGCAGAAGTGGGTCACTACAGGAATTGTAGCAGGAAAAACAACTACCAGGAAGGTATAAGAGATGGAAGAAAAGGGCTGATTTCTTATATGTTCCTGGCAGCTATTTTCCTGCCACACATCTTTATAAGCAGCCTTGACAACTCATCATGAGCCTCATGATATTTGGTATTCTTAAAGCCCCAGTTTCTGGAGTCATGTTGTGATGTGAGACTCTCGGCTTTCTTTTCTTAGAAAATATGTTTTTAGCCCTAATGGCAGCAGAGCACTGGTAACTGGAAAACATAGGCAAACATAATAACCCATTAAACTTTTTTTAAGCCTATCTGATGATTTGTGATGGCCTGCCTCATGGTTTTTGAACAGCTGAGTCATCTAATGCTGTGCAAGTAACACTTATTTTGTACACTGCTCAATGCCAAACTGGTGCACACTACCCTACCCTTACCCCTTACACCAGTGTTTCCATCGCTATTGAATTTGACCCAACACACTGCGAAACAACAAAGGAAATTTAATATTAAACCAACTTGCTAATGACATTAAGGGCTGGAGAAACTCCAGCTCAGAGTTAATATTTACTCACCCTATTATGCCTAGAGCATGTTTAGGGTCTCAAAGCAATAACATGGGTCTTGGCCCTACTAATGCAAAGGGGTCATAGACCTAATCAATCTGGCCACCTGGGGATTCCCTCAGTGTGTCAGTCCACTCACAGTCTCTGCCATGGGGTGCAAGCAGCTACAGGAAAAGAATATGCCTGCAACAGCTCTGCATTTCTATTATTTCTGGCTGCCAGACGGCCCTCTGGGCTGTAGGCAGTTGAGTGTAAATTAGAGCAGTCCTAAGGAGGCTAAGCCAGTCCCCACAGAGTCCTGGAGTTGTGGAACCACAACGTTGTCATAATACAAGTTTGTCCTCTCCCATTCTGGGTTTTGTACTAAGCATAGCTCAGCTGTATGTTCTGCAACAGTGACCCACATTGTGGTGAATTCAGGATAGCACTGAAAATATAAACTCTTGAATTCCCTTCTTTGTCAGTTCAAGTCACGCCCCTGTTGCATTATTATATCGGGGCTGTAACAAAGAGCAGTTATGACACATTGTGTCACAGATCAATGTAATGGCTCTGTCAGTCTGTCTGGCCAGACTCTTAATATGTATTACACAATAAAATATAATGGCTCCAAAGGAGGCATTAAAATCAGTCAAGTAATCACAAAGCACCTTCTTAATAAGACTCTCCAGGAAAGCGGTGCACTCTGAGTGTTTGGAAAGGAAGTGTTTTGATAGTACAGGTAATTATTATTATTGTTTTGTGTATGCATTTGGCAAGCAATGAAAGTAGGATCTTTTTGTGCCAGAAATTATTAAAACACATCGTGTTACAAAGAAGGTGTTCTTACATATTATTGTATGTATTGTCTTACTTAGGCACTGTGCACTTAAAGTGAAGGTTTCAGCTTTAACTTCCAATATACTTGGTTTTTTTGTAGGCTTAAGTCAGAGCCTTAATGTTATCAAAGTAGTATTTAGTGGTGTAGTGAGTATATAAAATGCTGTTTAAAAAATAATTACATATAGCTCAAGACGGGAAAAACCAGTACATTCCTGTAAACAGCCACTTAAGATGTGGGCAATAAATAAATGACTGTAATAAATAATTTGTCATGTCAAAGCTTAAGCATTTGGTAGGATGTTGAAGGAGGGTACTCTTTGTCCATTGCATCCTGAGATACCTTCAAAAATGATTGGGGGTTAGAAGAGATTATTTTACTTAGTATTGGGACAAGCTTTTGGAAAGCTTATCCAAGTGTATAGGACTCTTCACCTTTCCGTCCTCCCTTTGTATTTCCCCCCACCCGCAAAAAGACATTATCACAAATATATGTTGCTTTCTAACTTGTGAAATTAAATAGACTCCCTTAAATCTGTGGACTGACTTTACGGATTGTTTCTAGCAAATCTATGGAAGAATGAGCCCTGAGAGTAAAGGGTCAGTAAATGCAATTAAAGGGTCTCTAATTTTCCATTGGCTACTGCAAGTAAAGTGTTTTGTCTTTCCACATCCACTGGTAGTCCTCTTGTGTCACACTTTTCTGCCCTTTCTTTTCTTTTCAATATGCCCTCCTTGTGGTGAAAAGGAGTTTTTCTTTATATATATACATATATATATATATATATATTTATATATATATATATATAAAGAAAAACTCCTTTTCACCACAAGGAGGGCATATATATGTATATGCATATATATATATATATAATGTAAAAAATATCAGATGTGCTGGCATTTAAATGTTACTCCAGTTGTTAATAGATCGTGGGCTGGTATAGCAATTCATTGTAGCTTGTAATAGAGGTAATGTCACTTTAAGACATGTGATACTTTACAGAGCAGGGATGTATTGAAATAGACTACCGGTACTTACAGCATTGTATAGCAATCCTGCTTTGTACATACAGCTGCTTTACTCTGCATTGAATGCACTGTAGTGAGGCTGCTCTGTCATTAAACATAAACTGATCCTCATCTTTAAGTACACTGGAAGCTGCAAATTATCTCAAGATCACTTCAAAGGTCTCATCAAACAGAAGGTGACGTTAGGAGATGATTTAAAGGTGAAAATGACAAGGTTTCCACCCCTCAAACCTTAGCCACTTTTCTGACAACACAGTCTGAGAGCTCAGATGTCTCCTTTACTCTGGGAATAGGATTGGTGACGAAAAAGAGAATTTTTTTTTTAATCCTGATAAAGAAGATTATTGGGAAGCTATTTAAAATTCCTTATTGTGGTACAGATGGATTTTAAAAAGTGTTAGATCTTTCCAATGAACACTAATAGAGTACTCTGCTCTTGGCTGGATTACTCAGGTAAGGAGCTTCTTTAGGATTTAAGATTCAGAAAGCAGATCTTGAACTCATCTAACAATAACTGGAGGAATACTCACTATTGTGTGTGTGTGTGTGTGTGTATATATATTAGCAAGAGGCTCTCTTTGCATAAAAACAGTGTGTTCGACAGCAGTTGTAGTGAGCTGACTAACAAGTACATGAAGAAATGAAATGCTAGTAAGGAAGGAATGTTGGGGCTTTGAATAAAGTTAATTAAAATAATGTAGTTTGAGGAAGGATGGAAAAGATGTAGCAGACTAAGAGTGAAAACATGGGGTGGGGGTGGGGGGGTTTCAAAGTCATCTGTTCAGTGTGGTTAAGAATATGATACCTGGACACATTTTAAAAAAAGAAATAGGAGCTATTGGGTGATTGTAGAAGTTTGGCTTTGCTTCATGGTTTGGCTAGGATGTTAAAGTTCAGGTTAAATAAGAGCACTTTATGCCTGAAATATCAATGCATGTTAGAGTCACCTTTCCCTTTTATGTCATTGTATGAAAGCATGGGAGCACCAGAAATGACTAAAAAAAGCATTAATTTCTGAAGACATGGGAGGTCTATTGTGAGCTATCTGTTTGGAGGGGGTAGAATCCATGTTACACTATTACTCAGTCCAAAAACAAAGGAGGAAAAGTATACAAAAGTAAACAGTAGGAAGGAAAACTAATTATATGCTGAATAGTGCATCAGATACACAGAACAGGGAAACAAATAGCCTTGTGTTGAGGAAAATAATGTTTTGCTATTTTGCAGTTAATTATACTTGTCAGTTTATTTGCAGGATTTTCTTCCATTAATCTTTAAAACAATCCTCAAAGACCATGCTTATTTATTAAAATAACAAAAATAATCTGTGCATATATTTTATTGACACATAAGCATCGCTATGATTTTTAATAGTGTGTATTTCCCCAGTAAAGAAATTGTGCTGATAGGTCATTTTTTGGATTTTACATTGGTCGGCTCGATCTTTCCTAAATGCATAGAATGTTCAGGGTTAAGAAAAGATTTTTAGCTTTAAAGTCTTCCATCCTCAGTGAACATGATGTTCTGCTGATTGGATTATTAGATAGAAAGTGGCATCATGTCATTGGCTGAATAAGGAGAATGTCTGAAGTTTGATTAATTTGGCAATATGAAATGCAGCAGAAGGTGTTATTAAAGGAACTGGATGATATGTAGCATAGCTGAGCCTTGCAAATCCTACAATCCTTGCAGGTATTGAGAAGGAGCTATTAAAGTCACAAAGTCTGAGAAAATTTAACCAATTAGTATAATAATAAATGGATGGAAATATCTACCCACATATAATATTTCAAGTAGTCAAGTGTGCCAGCATTGGGAGACAGAGAAAGAAGTACACCATTCCTTTTCAGCAAGAGTTTGTCTTTAAATTTTGACACACTCTACCCTTTGAAAAGATCAAACCTCCTATTTGTTACATATAAAATTCAGTCTGCCCTTACTATTGTTCTTTATGAGCATAGGCCAAACAAAAGGAAGCTGATTTTTATCTGGGGATTAGAACACAATTCTGAGAAACAATTACTTTGTTTAGCAGACAGCATTCATTGCAATTAAAAATTAATGTGCACAGAAGTCAAAAACAATAATCTGTTACCTACTGGGTAGGTATTTGCCTTGCAGCCTTGGGGCTGGAGGATGCTTAAAATGCATCTCAGATATCTGATAATGTTGTATGACTATCTGTAATGTATTTAAAATAGTTTTGATACTGTCTGAGGAGCTCATTTTTGGGGGGATACTATTGTAATTCCCTCCCCCCCCAACTGGTAAATCAAATTGCAGCACAGAGTGGGAATATTTCCCTAGCTTATATTTATGTTGTTTTTCTTCAAGTACTTGGATCATTATAGTTTCATTTGTGCCACTGAATTATAAAAGTTACCAAGTCTCCCATGCTGACATCTCTTTACCTCAACTTTTCTTGTTTTTGACATGACCTTTGTCATATAACCATTGCAGCCTGCAAGGGGAGGGGGAGAAGAGGGAGGGAAGAAAGAAACAAAGATACTGTAAAGGTAAAAATACTGTTGTAATCACTGCTAAATACTGTGTGTGCTCTCAGGCTATATGTACTAACGCCTGTCTAATATTTCATTTAGAGAATGGCGATGGTCTCTACAATGTCTTGGGTCCTGTATTTGTGGATAAGTGCATGTGCAATGCTGCTCTGTCAGGGGTCTCTTCATCACACTTTCCAGCAGCATCACCTGCACAGACCAGGTAGGACCAATCAGCTACAGGATGTTGTAAGATGACAGGCACTCTATCCGTGCACTTGTCTGCCTTGATAAATGGTTGAATAAACATAAACATCCCAGTTTGTTATTGAACATTTATGAGTTGTTTGTCTATGTATCTCAGAGAATCTTTCTGATCAGCCTAATGTATGGCTGTTTGGTATTGGAATATGCCTCCTGTTAGCATCTTTTTCTAACAGCTTCTCAACTCAGGAGGCTGATCACTGAAAGCCTATTTTAGATAAGAATTTAATTTCTCTGTTCTCTTTATTTTTTTTCCTGTGTAATAACAGAGTAAGTTTTGTTCCCCAGAAGAAATCCTGGTGGCAGAGCTTTGTGTAACTTTATTTGCTGTACCTATGTCAATCTGGGCACAAATTGTACGCTTACAATGATATGAGTGAAACTCTGATAATAGTTGAGCCTTTTCACTCTTCCTGAGGTCAGTGGGATGGGATGGGTCTATATGAGAGCAGAATTTGGCCTAGAAGTTTTAATCTTACTGATGGCAAGCCATGAGTTTGCAAAGGTGCAACTCTGAGTAGAATTCAGGCCTGGGTTTCAGTGGGGTTAGATGAGTGTTGCTGAGAGCAGGTTTTAGTTTCTTTGTGTGTGGAATGGAGACTGTGTATAAATATTTTCATTACTTTGACATTCTTCAAACAGAAATTGTTGGTGTTAATTTTCAGCTGTAATTACTTTGTGAATCATGTATCATGTGAAAAATGTTGAAGAAATGGCATATTAAAGCTCATTATTACCAATAAGTTAGAAATGAGAGAGCCTTGTGTTGTAATTTCACATACTCTGAACCCAAGGAAAGGAGTGAAAGTTCTTCCCAAGAGAATTAGAGATGAAACAGAGAATATTAGCTGGTAATTACACATTATTTAATTTGTAGAAGCAGGTAGATCAAAGCAGAATTAGAATAAGGCTAACATTTTCAAAAGTGATAGGGCTTAGCCTCCTAAATCACTTAGGCACATTTGAAAAAAATTGCCCTTAATCTTTAGCGGGTCTAATGTGCTGAAAAGTTTTTTTTCCAATTGTTTTCGCTGCCCAAAAGTGATAGGGTGTTTTGGGGGTATCTTCGTGTCTTCTCTCTCAATAACATAATATAAAATAAATATAATCATAGCCTGGAGAGGAATGGTTCTAAAAATTTGACTCACAGGCTTTATCTAATGAACAACTATTATGTGTTTTGTATTGGCTTTAGTACCGGCATTTTGAAGTTAGAGAATACATCCCGTTTTGGATGTTCTTTTTTGGAATACACAGAGAAATGCCCATTAAAAGAAATGCCCCGAAATCACCATTGGTGATCTGAGACTGTCCCCTGGCTAAACAAACAAACAAACAAACAAACAAACTACTTGCATAAATAGGTAAAAGGAAAATGTAATCTCATTTTGTAAAGTCTGTTGAAACAAGCGACATTATGAGAAAAAATGAGAGCCTGGCAGATCCAGAGCTTTGCCACATTTGCCTAAGCTTGAAAAATCACTTCTTTTATGAAGCAAGAACAGTCAGACACTGAATGCATACCAAGTATTGGGGAAATGTGGAAAATGACAAATCTTTCACTCAGAGCTGTGATACAGATATAGTGAAGGTTTTACAGCTGCCTCATCACCTGCTTAGGAACCTCAGAGAGTTTCCTCTTGCGAGCCTTTCTCAGGCAGCTACTCCGCACCCTGCATGAGTAAGATTGATGGTGTTCTGATCCCAGGCAGCCAATTTCAGTCTCTCAAGAAATAATCCAGTACATTGACAGATGAGTGGAATTTGACATGGTGTTCACCTCTGATTCAGATTGCTTTGCACCTGGAAAGTACCAGCTAGGGAGGGTCCTTTAGAGGAAACAGAGATTTTAGACAATTTCTATTGTCAGAACATGAAATCAGCACAATGTTTTTATAAGGCCATGAATTTGCAATCTGCTTACTGAATGCAATAGGTTTGTACATAAAAGGGATGGAAATATGTTAACTAGGAAACTGACTGATTTAATGTATTCAACTATAGTCTCTAAGCAGTTCCTATTTATAATATTAGGAATGTGTTTGTTAGTCACTGTATAAGTAAGATTAAAATATTCAGCCAAATAAGGATTAATACAAATGATGCAGATGAACCAATGCAAAATTTCAATGCAAAATTTGTGTATATGAAATTTGCAATGCAAAATTTCAATGCAAAATTTGCAATGCAAATTTCAATGCAAAATTTTCAATGCAAAATTTGTGTATATGAAATTTTGAGTCATGGCAAAAATAGCTATAGTCAATAGCAGGTTCAGCATACTTTTTCTCATTTTGTGGGATTACATGGATATTAGTTTGATACTTAATTTAAGAGACATTCCGAACAATTAAAAACTCAATGGTAGGACTACTTTTGTATAGACTAGGGTAATTCAAAGAGACAGATTCCTTTCTGCCTTGTGCCTCTTGTACTTGATAAATACAAGAGTATCCATTAAATACAAGTACATGCAGTGTTAAAAAAACAAATTCTGATTTAGTGGATTGAACCTAATAAACTTGAATGTAACTGAATGGATATATGTATTGAGAGAATCTATTTCTAATATGAAGATTAATTCAGTAATGAAACACTATGGATTTCTGGCATGAGACACTGAAAGGTGACTTTATCAAGTATAGTAGTCCTTTTTTTCTAAAACTTTCTTAAACATTGTAAGTTTTTGCCAGAAGCTGGGAATGGGCAACAGGGGATGGATCACTTGATGATTACCTGTTCTGTTCATTCCCTCTGGGGCACCTGGCATTAGCCACTGTCAGAAGACAGGAATCTGGGATAGATGGACCTTTGGTCTGAACCAGTGTGGCTGTTCTTATGTTCTAATGTTTTCAGATAAACTTTTGGACATTATACATGCGAACACACAAGTTTAAATTTTCATTTCACTGCAGGCTATATTTCTATAATTCATCATTTTGGTAACCTATAGATGACGTGACAGAAGATACAAAATTGCAAATAAATCGCAAACCATTTTATGTGACAGAATTTTTAAGTGACTGTAGCTTCATTTTCTGTGAAATAGTAGCTGAAGGGCACATACAGGATATATTCAATATTACTATGGGTATAAAATTGAATGTAAGATATTGCACACGTACATGGACTGTTGTCTCCCTTGTCACATTAACCCAAAGGTTTGAATGCATATAATTATGTCTTAGTAAGGCATGTATTGGTGAATGTTCTTTTAAAATGAAATAGGTTGAGTGTGTGCATGGAGTTTTTTCCTTCTTCTTGACTAATACTCAAAGGACAGTCTTCATTTGGTGTAAACTTGCATAGCTCCAATGCCATACAATTCTCTTTAGGTAATATTGTCTTCTGCAGATCCTTATATAAATATATTTCATTTTCAAGAAAATTATATTATACAAAGTACGCATGAAAACATGCATAGGATATAACTTTAGGAAGAAGCAATCAATGTTCTCTGAGTACTTAGTTTGGTTTGGAGTTAATAAAACACAATGAGAACAATTCCACATTGGCCATTTTAAACTCCAGCATACATACAGTTGTATGGCTGTTGAATTGGCCTTGGGATTAGACTGGACAGGTTGTGATTTAAAGAGGTAGATGAGTGCCAGTGATTGTCCATTGATCATCTGATTGACAATATTGACTCATTTCAGAGTAGCAGCCGTGTTAGTCCGTATTCACAAAAAGAACAGGAGTACTTGTGGCACCTTAGAGACTAACCAATTTATTTGAGCATAAGCTTTCGTGAGCTACAGCTCTCTTCACAAAAGCTTATGCTCAAATAAATTGGTTAGTCTCTAAGGTGCAACAAGTACTCCTTTTCTTTTTGCGAATATTGACTCAGTTCTCCAGAAGTAGGAAGTCGACATTAAGGTTTGGCAAGACACTAAAGTGTCAACAAAGCATTTCTGAGTCTTAAGGATGCAAATAAATTTGATATTCGCATCAGTGTCACAAATATACAAAATGATCTCTCATTGTTTTATTATGTACAAGAGATTATATTTCAATTCAGGAAAGAACCTTAAGGCCAAACCCAGGGTTGTGAGTTCAATCTTTGAGGGGGCCATTTAGGGATCTGGGGCAAAAATTGGGGATTGGTCCTGCTTTGAGCAGGGGGTTGGACTAGATGATCTCCTGAGGTCCCTTCCAACCCTGATATTCTATGAATATTCTATGAATTAGCATTAAATCTAAATGGAAAATACCATGGTTAGACCTTGAAGTTAAAAAAAAAATAAACACAAAAATTGCAAGTTACCATCACCTGGACATGACACGTTTTAGCCCATGTAGAATAATTTGTTAAACATTCAGGATGCCAAGTTGGTCCTACGTGAATTTTGTAAAGTATAAAGATGCGGGCTAGAAACATAGAGATACTGTAACATGGTTGACGTTTGCAAAGATGTTAATTAAAAAAAAAAGGCCTATTCAGAGAGGGAAAGATGGTTGTATCCGCCTGAGCTGGTTTGGCTTGTATCAGTGAAATTGTGGTTGCGTTTCTCAAGGCAGTATGCCAAGAAAGTGCTGAGTAGTTTCTTCCACTTTTTTTTCTCTCTTGGCAGTGTTTCATGTGTTACTTTGTACTGTAACAGAAATGCATCAAACGACACAGTTATATAAATGTTAAAACCAGGACTTTAGGTCATACGTACAACAACTAAATACTAAGCTATCCATAGTTTTATTTATTGTGGCAGCAGCAGATCTTACACGAATCAAAAATCATCTTGAGAAGAGTTTGCCCATAAATACTAAGAGAAAAAAAATCACTACGCCAAAGCAATCTTATAGAAACTCAGACCAAACAAGAACCGAGGAGTTCTCTGAGCTTGTTTCATAAAAGAAAGGCAGCGTCTTACAATGACTTGATCTATGGCTGTGAGCAAGGGACTTTAGTTTTAATCTTGACTCTGCCACTTACTTGGGAAGCCTTAGGGAAGCCACTTA